TTTAATATTTTAATTTAAAATAATCTCATACATGTAAAAAAAACTATAAAATACTACAACATGTTATATGCACCCTTTACCCAATTTCTTAGGTGTTAATAATTTAAACATTACTATTATACAACTAACAAAATTTGAAATGTATTTTTCTTATAATCTCTAATGTTATTTAATCCATTTACTTTGTTTTTGTTAATCTTCACCCAGTGATATTTTTCCATTGAATTTTAGAGAAAGTGAAGGGAGAGAGACATTGATTGGTTGCCTCCTGCACATGCTTTGGTAGGGACTGGGGATCAAGCCAGCAACTGAGAATGGAATCGAACCTGGGACCCTTCAGTCCACGGGCAAATGCTCTATCCACTGAGCAAAACATGCTGCAGCTTAATTCATTTACTTTTACTCTATATGTGTCTTTAATATATTTAAAGTGAGTTTTGTTTTTGATTCACCCTCATAATTTGTCTTTTAATTGGTGCATTTATGCCATTGACTTTCAGAGTGCTTACTGATAGAGTTACTACCATATCAGGTGGCTGCTGGGTCTCCTGGGGCGGGCCTGCCTTGCCTCCCAGGACCCACCGATTGGGTCCCCAGCGGCAAGGCCGGCGGGCTGCTGGGGCTTCTGGAGCCAGCCTGCCCTGGATGGCAGTGCATTGGCAGCTCATGCTTTCCTGCCCTGCCTGCAGTATGCAAATTAGCCTCCATCTTTGTTGGTGGTTAATTTACATATCATGCTGATTAGCCAATGGGAGGCGTAACAAAGGTATGGTCAATTACCATGTTTGTCTATTATTAGATAGGATAGATAGCATTAAATGGTTTTTATTATGATAAAATGTATCTAGCCTAGGTCTCATTTTCTCTAAACCTATTGCTGGAGTCCCAGGTTGAAATGTACTTCTCATATCTGGCCTTATATCCTCCCCTAGGACGGTGGGTCCATTTATTTCCTCATTTTATTATAAGGTTCTCAGGAGCAGGCATGGTATCCTTGCCTCCAGTCCAGCCCCCAGTACACAGTAGCCACTCAATAAATATATAGTAACCTGAACTGAACCATTTTCAAATAAAGGGCCATCTGTAGTAACCACACTAGAGTTGTTTGTTTCCAGCACTCAGAATTAAATATGCTTTAAAACATGACATAAGTGAAAAATGCACCAGATTTAGAATCAAAGGACTTGATTGAGTTCACATCTTGTCCTATCATCTGTTCTTCTGTTTGAAGCGCAGGTAAATAATTCCCATTTCACACCATCTTTCCAGATGTGGAAAATTCTGGTGTATATTCAATCAGTATTAGTTTCCTTTCTGTATTACTACTTTACTTCTTTTTATGACCTTTAGTGATTTGAAATGATTATTGTTATCAGTGAAACTTCAAATCTATATATACCTCCTTATCCCAGTTAAATTAGGTCTAGTATTAGTTATTTTTCCTGAACTGAACTTCAAAATTACTATATAAAATAGATAACACAACCTTTCCTTTTCATCCTCATAGGTTACTCTACTTCCTTGAATTGTTTATATTCAGAACATATTTCTTTTATTGCCACAAGCATGAGTGGACCTTTACTTTGTTCATATTATATAAAGAAATCTGTCTTCTGCCATCGTTTTTGTAGTTTGTTTTCACCAGAAAGCATCTACTTTAAGAAATATTTTCTTTGCCTGCATTTTATTATTCCACTATATGTCCCTTTTTAATGCTTTTGTATGGATATTAGAACCAGTTGCTTGAATTCTTTTGGTAATAGGCTTAGGGCTCTGCAGTAACACAAAATTTATTGTAGAAGTAAGTCATGTGGAGTTCAGCAGTACTCTCTAATCAGTGGGTTCCAAGCTCTTAAGTGTGTATTATAAACAAAAGTATATATAAGTAATACAGAAAAGCAGCTGAGACAGATATAGCTGATGCTGACAAGGAAAAAGGAATGACACGCCTACATTTTGTTTATTATACAATGAAATGGCAACTACAAACTACAGAAAGAGTTCTTAGAGGAAAATTCTAAGTAATGGGCATTTATCGGTATGAGAAAACTCAGGCTAGATGGAAAAGAAAAGCTGCTCAGACGTGGGAATAGCCAAAGGATGAACTGAGCTACAAACGGATGTGATCAATGTCACTAGAGACAAAGTATCTGAGTTTCAACTTAACATTGTGAGGATGGGAATAATGAAATCAATTTGTCATAAAGTAGCAGGCATGAGTCAGTGACTCACAAGAGATCCCTGTTATCACACATTATTGTTTGGTTATGTGCCTCCCTAAAGACTGGAAGCAAAGTGTGCCACAGTGCTTTTGTATTGGATTCAGGCTGCACCTTCATACCCTGACCCATCTCACCTTCAACCTGTTCTCTGAATTCAATACGAATTAAAACCTTGGAGAATTTTGGTGGAGAGATTCATGACTAATAGGAAAAACACTGTGAATATTTGGAACCTCAGAAAAAATGCATTTGGTTTTTGCCCTGTTTTTCACAATCATGAATACACTTACATTTTGGTAGAAATAAAAGAGAACCTTAGGATCTTGTTTCCTAGTTGGAAATAAAGTCATTTGAGTTGGCAAATCTTGGTGAACAGTTACAACACTGACCTCCGGCCCTTTTGTATCCATGTTGCTTGCATTTGGGCTACAGTTAGCTTCTGTCATTACTAGAGACAGAACACTGTTTGACAGTTTGCACAAAGAAGAGAAATAGACAGAACTCCTTCATGTGTTTCTGCTTCTAGATCTCTCTTTCAGTATAACTATTTCAAAAATAAAATAAATAGGGCTCTTATGACATGTACATTTGATTTCATGGTTTTTAAGTTATCAAGTTTAGATTTTTATGAGGATACCAATACTTACATTTCACATTGGTTCAAAAAAGTTATTTCTATGCTTTTGTCAGCCACTGTGTATGTAAGCTAGACCTCTTGCTCTTGAAGACCTTGCAGTCTACTGGAGGAAAATATGAAGATAATTCCTCAAAAGAATGACAAGAAAAGCCACAGGCTGGGAGAAGATATTTGTGAAAAACATCTCTGTTTAAGGACTACTATGTAGGTTCATTGATTGTAATAAATGTGCTACTGTGGCACAGGAGGGTGAAGCTATGCATGTGTGGAGTCATTGAATACGTGGGGACTCTGTACTACCCACTCAATTTTGCTTTGAACCCAAAACTGCTCTAAAAAACAACACCTTTAAAAATAATAAAGCCAGTGAATCATACTAGAGAGAGGGATTTTAAGAAGAGTAGTAGTGTAGAAAAGAGGCAGCTTATCCTAGGGAGGTTTTGGAGAAGACTTCCCAGAGGGCATGACTTTTAGAATGGGTTTTAAAGTATAAGCAGAATTTTACTTCTAGGAAGGTACATAGAGGAATTACAGGTGTAGAAGGAGATGAAAGGAAGAGAAGAAGGAGGTTAATAGGAAGGGAGAAAAGGAACAGGAGAAGGAGGATATACTCTGTGAATGGCCTGTAATTTCAAATGAAATTAGTTTGTTGTAAACATAGGCATGTCATTGGACTAGTGGGGCAAGTTGGGAATTTTAGTCCTTTTATCAGCCATGCTGATGAGTTTGGAGTCTGTCTGGAACAAGCCATTGGCTGTTTGCAAAGAATAGAAAAACTAATATCTATTATTGTGTGCTTACTTTGTGGTTGTTTTTGTTAAGGATTATCACATGTAATCCTCACAATACCCCCTGAAGTTGAACAGTATTGTCTCAGTTTGCCACTGAAGAAACTAAGGCAATGAGAGGTTAAATAACTGCACCAGCTCACAGCTAATCAGGGGCAGAGCTGAGACTCAAATCCGGACATCATGATGTCAAAACTCACATGACCAGCACACTTGAGAGGTGCTTTGGGAGAAACATTCAAAGAGAGAGTAAGTGAATGCAGATCAGATGTCATTGTTCATTGTTTGTTTTTCAGGTGTCTACAAGGAAATAGCCCGGAGGCTGCAATCAACTGCAATCCCTTCACACCTTCATGATGTTTCCCTTGGCTAGAAATATATTGAGAAGTGTCAAGATTAGAAGCTTTCAGCAAATAAGGGCAAGACAGAGCCACAAGAAACACTCCCCAGATTTCCATGATAAATATGGTGACACTATACTAGCCAGTGGCTCCATTTTCTGTGTTGTTGCATGGTTATTTACAGCTACACAGATTGGAATAGTATGGAACCTGTCCCCTGTTGGCAGAGTCACTCCACAAGAATGGAATGATAAGTAACCATCACAGTTACTGTAACACAGAATTGTCTCAAAACCAACCTTTCATTTAAGCACTCTGCTGCTCATTTAAATGTAGCATAATTTAAAAATTAAAATACATTGAAACCTTTAAAGCCATTGTAAGTAGTTATTATAATGCCTGGAAACATGGTTGTAAGAGTGGATATAAATTATAGGGAATTAGGAATAACAAATATTTGAAAGGAGAATTAATAAAGCATCTGTGCTTCTGGTTTGATGATTTACACCAGGTACCCTCAGTGGATATATACACATATGTACCCTAGGAGTAGTCTGGCAAGTCCTGTTGAATCTTTCTTAAAACATATTCACGATCTGACCATTTAACATCCTTCACCTTTCTCTCCCTGATCTGAACCATCACACTCTCCCTGGGATTATTATAAAAACTTTCTCGCTGGTCTCCTTGCTTCTACACTTGATGTCCCCCAAAGCCTGCCCCCTCTACCCTGCCATACTTAATCATTTTTAAGCACAGCAGCCAGAACAATCATTTAAAAACATGATATCACTCCTTTTCTCAAAACTCAATTGACTTTTAAAGTTATATACATACTGGAGGTCCGATGCATGACATATATGCATGGGAAGGAGGTCCCTCAGCCTGGCCTGCACCCTCTCCAAAGTGGGACACCTCCTGCAATGATCGGGCCTAAACCGGCAGTCAGACATCCTCTCGCAATCTGGGATCGCTGGCTCCTAACTGCTCACTTGCCTGCTGGCCTGATTGCCCCCTAACTGCTCCCCTACTGGCCTGATCACCCCCTAAATACTCCCGTACTGGCCTGATCGCCCCCTAAATGCTCCCCTGCCAGGCTGATTGCCCCCTAACTGCCCCGCCCTGGCCTGATTGCTCCCTAACTGCCCCCTCCCCCAGCCTGTTCACTCCCTAACTGCTCTTCCCTGCTGGCCTGATCACCCCTAACCTCCTCTGACTTGGCCCCCACCACTGTGGCTTTGTCCGGAATATGTCTGGTCTAATTAGCATATTACCCTTTTATTAGTACATATACACTGAGTGACCAGATTATTATGACCACCCCATCAGTACTTCTTTGGGGCACCTTTTGCCTTCAATACTGAGCACTGTCCAGTTCTGTGAGTTTGATGGTTGTGGAACGAGCTGCCTGATGGCTCTTTTAACTTCGTCCCACAAATGCTCCATTGGATTGAGATCTGGTGATTGTGGGGGCCACCTAAGCAAGGTAAAGTCTCCCTCATGTTATTGAAACCACTCCTGCACAATAGGAGCACCGTGGCATGGCGCATTGTCTTGTTGGAAGAAGCCATCTCCGCTGGGATATGCCATCAACCTGATAGGATGAACTTGATCAGCAATGATACTTAGGTATGTTGTGCTATTTAAACGTTGTTCCACACGAATTAAAGGGCCCAAATCATGCCAGGAAAACATGCCCCAATCTATAACACTGCCCATACCAGTTTGAAGGGTTGTACTCATGCATGTGGGGTGCATGCTTTCATGCTGTTTCCACCAAATTCTCACTCTGCCATCTGCATGATGCAACTGGAAATGTGTTTCATCGGACCACATTACTTTTTTCCAATGCTTGACTCTCCAATACTTGTGTTCCTGTGCGAATTAGAGATGTTTTATCTTGGTAACTACAGACAGCAAAGGTTCGAACAGGACTTTGGCTAATTTGCCTGCAAATGTCAGGTGGTCATAATCTGGCCACTCAGTGTATATATATGTATGATTTCAGAGAGGAAAGGAAAGGGGAAGAGAGAGAGAAAAATGAATAATGAAAGAGAATTATTGATCGGTTGCCTCCTGCATGCCTTCCACTAGGGCTCTAGCCAGCATCCCAGGCATGTGGCCTGATGGGGAGTCAAACCTTGAGCTGATTCACAGGTCGATGCTCAGCCACTGAGCTACACTGGCCCAGCAAAATCCAGTGACTTATTTCACAGCAGAGTTAAAGCTAACATCCTGAGAAAGGTGCACAGGCCACTTAAAATTCTGTACTGGTTCATTTCACTCCTGCATCAAAACTTTTCCGTTTGCTTTTTCTTCTGTTTGGGACATACTTCCTCCATATCCTGTATGGCTCACGCTCCCTCACACTTTTCAGAGTTTTGTGTACATATCTTCAGAGAAGGCTTTGGCTACCCTTTTAAAAATTGCAGCCCCTCTCTGCCTGATGGCTCAGTTGGTTAACTGTCGTCCCCTGCCCCAAAAGGTTGGGGGTTCGATTCCCAGCCAGGGCACATACCTAGGTTGTTGGTTCAATCCCTGGGGGTGTGTATGGGAGGCAGCTGATCAGTGTTTCTCTACCGATGTTTCTCTCCCTTCCTCTCCATCTCTCTCTAAAATCAATAAACATATCCTCTAGTGAGGTGGGTTTTTTTTC